AGCATGTGGAAGGTCTGTAAATAAGAAAGAAAAAGTTTTTTATTGGCTTCAGGGAGAAAAGATCTTGATCTAATCAAGCCCATCAGTTCAGTTTATCATTGTATCATCTCCATTGGTAATAAGGCTGTGCAAGGATCTAGAGAACAGGCAGAACAGGTTACTGCTTGCAGAGTCCCAGTACCCTATGGTAAAATCTCACCTGTGCAGCAATTCCAAAGAACTTTCTCTCCCTTACTTTATTTCACCAGCCCATTCAGACAGAATGGTATCAGACTGATCTATTCCCTGTGCTTTTTGTACCCTTTTTAGAAAATAGATTCCAAAATGAAATGAATGCTAATCAGATACTGCAGCATCTTAAACCATTGCAGCCTGGGTGAACTGGAACAGGAGCTCATCTGATGTTTACAGTCCAGTTCAAAGCTCAACAGAAATCACCTCCTTAGGGATACATCCACATGCAATTTGCTTCCAATAATTCACAGCAGTTAGCAGAGCATTTAGCCTGTAAAGCTCTTTGATTTACACTTTGTTTCTTTCTCAGTCATTAACATCTGTGTAAGGACTACTAGAGTAAAGAGAAATGGGCGTGTGGGGGCCAAGCATTGTGGGGAATGAGGAGACTGTTAATCAAATGCACTAAAATCTCCCTTAGATCATGTTGACCACAGCATTCTCTTTCTTCACTATTCTAGATGGGAAGAACCAGCTGCTCCTGGCCTTGTTAAAATGCACAGGTAAGGGGCTCTGATTTGTTACAAAACATCATACATACACAAGTCCCTAAAACTTGCACGTGCATGCATGTGCATACATAAGAATGTTATGTTCTTCCGTAACATTTAGGTTTTTCCCTGGCATTTTATGCTAACATTTCTCATGCTCTGTACCTAGGGCAACCTTCCCATGCATGTGACATCTGTTCTTCAGTTTACATGATTTCAGTCACTGCAAGCTGCTTGTTGTTACCTGCCTGGTCACTGATGTTTCTTTCACGAGCACTGTTTTTCTTTTACTGTCTTCATTTTTTCCTTTGTACAATCCCTCTTCCCAGATGGCCCTTACTGTTTCCTGCTGTGGTGAGAACATGCAGCAAAAATGAGACCTATTGCACAACTTTCTGTGAGACTGGACTCTGTCAGCTTTCCAAACTGAGCAGGCGCGTTAGGCATCAGAACTGTGTATGCTGAAAGAACAGCCAGAAGCAGACTAAGAAACCTGTGTGTGCAGCAGCACCTAAAATGCACCATGAACATCATCAATCTGTTACCATGTGCAAAACATTGTGCTCATAGCTCAAGGAAAAAGCCTTTCCCAGGGGTAAATGTGTGGTCTTGTAATCGAAACACCTACTTCATGTAGTTTTGTTTGAAAATGAGGTAACAACTAGATGGAGTAGGCTGTTACTTCACTGTGCCAGACATGATTCTCAAGTCTGCACAGAATGATGATGCAAGATTTGTGTGGCTCTGTCACCTCTTGGCTACTGCCAGAGCTGGTCTGTGAGTCCATCCAGATCAGTCTCATGGCTATGGAGGCTGGTTTTACTGATGGCAACTGCAGTGACTCCCAAAGCCTCTACCTGTGCCCCATCTGCAGCATTTCCATGGACATCCTCTGGAAAGAATGGAGAAGTTGGTGGCACTGAACTGGCCAGAGCAGCTTTATGGCACCAGGGATTCCCTTGCCTTGAGGGCAGCCCTAATCTCTCTTTACCGTACTTCTAGCAGCACAGAGGTGTGCTGCTGGACGACTGGTTGTCCTTAGGTTGAGAATATGGCCCAGAGCCTGGCGTGTCCTGGTGGTCTTCAGTGCTTTATAAAGATAATGCAGATCTTCAAAGCCCCTGGGGGATGTTCAGCCTCTTTCTCTGGGGAACACTGCCTTGATGAGAGACTGCTGTGCTGCCATGCCCGCTGGAGGAGCCTGGGGTGCCTGGGAAGGAGCTTGTCACTTATTCATGTGCCTCTTTGGCCTGCAATCCCCTTAAGTGTGACGAGGTTGCTGTGACCAGCAGCATGTGGCTGCCTGGCAGGCGAACTGGAAGCAAAGTTAACGTGGGGGAAATTCTCCCAGGAAACATAAACCAGTTGGTACCGTATGGACAGGCCCAGTTAATGTATTAAGCATATGGGAAGCCCACAAAATACAGATGGATGGGGGAAGATGAATCTCTAATAGCCCAGGAGAGAAGTAATGGCAGAGACTTTCTTTCAAGAATTCTCTTGCTTCTGTAAACATAAAAAGAAGGGAATCGGTCCAGACATGGCACAAAGGAGGTACAGCTCTTCCCAGTCAGAAGAATGAGCTTGCAGATGGCAGAGGTAATAATAAACAGTCAAGTGGACTAGAAAATGTTCAACATGCATGTACTCTAGCTGTGCTGTCTTTATCCACCCACCCAGGTCGCACAGCAAGAAGAGGTTATCTGTTAAGTCTGTGCAAAGCTACAGCAGAAGCCAAATGTCTCCCATACACAAACTGCTGCTTTGGCAGTGACATTAAAGGCCAATGTTCTCATGACTTCTTTGTGCTCTTCTCCCCTTCTCTGGCAGATACTGAGCTACAGCTGAGACGTGATTCCATCTTCTGTCAGTCTCTCGTGGCTGCTATTTGCACCTTCTCAGAGCAGTTACTGGCTGCTCTCAACTATAGATACAACAACAATGGAGAGTATGAAGAGAGCAGCAGAGACGCCAGCAGAAAATGGCTGGAACAGATAGCAGCCACGGGTGTTCTACTGAACTACCAGTCTCTCCTCTCCCCTGCTGTGGTAAGATGAAGAGCTGTGCCCCCCTTGGGTCCACTCACACTTGCTGTATGCATCCCTGCCACTCACAGCACAGCCAGAGCCCTTCATTCTAGCAGCGTGTGTAGCCTCTCACTACAGCAACCTCTGGAGATTCCTGCTGCTGACAACTATGTACCAATATTCCACATCCCATCATTTTCATCTCCTCGCAAATACTGGACCCACTGTCACACTAGAACACTATAGGAATCTGCCTGCCTTCCTGTTTGGAGTAATGCTGCTGCACTTAGGGAGGTTTTACTGCTCAGCACATGGTGATGCATGTGTGGCCTGCCATCTCCTGGTAGAAACACACATTGCCACAAACAGGTGGAAGAGCTCTTGATTATTTCGAGTTCAGACAACATGAAAAGCTAGGCTTTTGTTGTTTCCTGTACTTGGTACCTGTATAAATGCTTAGAAAAAAGGAGCATAAAAAAGGCAAGTTGCTCTGACATAATAGAGAAGAGACCTTTTTTTTTTAAATACACAATCCAAACTCTATCCATGTGTAACTGCTGTTTCCTTACGCTGCGTGGAATGGGTGGACATTTATTTCACAGTGACCAGTACGCTTTTCCTTTCCCATTTGTAGGTACAGAGTAAAGTTTGGAGAAAGAGATCCTTTCAAACTTACTCCTTAAACCTCTCTGCTCTCTGTGAATTGCATCAAATGACATCTCAGCAAAGAGTAGCTGAATTTGTATCACAAAGTTAGAGCCATTAGTAATTACCTGGCTGGGACTGAGCTGATGGAAAGCAACACATTCTATTCTAGGTCTCCTGAACCAAAGCATGCCCAGAAAAACTCTACCTTCCTGCCATTAATCTCGCTCTGGCAGATCACAACCTGTTTATATCTGTTTCTTTGCTCTACAGAAGGAGGAGCGCACTATGCTGGAAGACATCCAGGTTGCTCTGACTGAATTGGACAAAGTTGCCTTCTATTTCAAGCAGCTGGATGAAAGTCTTGTAGCAAGTGAGTAGTCTCTGTTTCTTTGAAGCTCTCTTTTTCTCGTTTGTTTTATGGGTTAATATTCTCCATGACTATAAAGCCTCTGCAGCATTGCTGCATTTTCTCAGCAAACACACAGCATAAACCACAGGACTGATATCACAGGATGCTGGTTGCATGTTCTGTGATTTGTAACTATGGTCTGTTACCTCACCTGTGTGATTACACACACGGGGAGGGATGGGAGACTCTGAGCAGTTCCTGATGGATGTGTGTAATTCACCATCATCTAAGGTAGAAGGACTGTCCCTCCCAGCCCTTTTGTGTCCTGTCCCCTCTCCTGCCACATCTCTCTCCAAGTTTTCTGACTACGAGATGCCATGAAACAAGGTGGAATTTCAGTTATTAACCATGTTTGTTGTATTGGTGCCAAACACCATGCCAGGTCATGCAAACTGTGTATCTTATAAAGTGTGATATTTCAGAGCCTGCATTCTCTCAGTAAAGGCTCTCCCTTAAGCATCTCATGGTGGAGATGTGAAATGTCATTAGATAATTCAGCAAGCTCAGATAGCAGTGGTTTCGCATTTCTCCTGCTGTGGTAAAGCAGCCAGTGTTTTATCTTTATTTCTCCAGATACTCATGTCTTCTACCACATCGAAGGAAGTCGCCAGGCCTTGAAGGTTATCTTTTATCTTGACAGCTACTACTTCTTCAAACTGCCTTCTCGATTTCAGAATGGGGGAAGCTTGAAACTGCACATGGTGCTCTTTACAAAAGGTGTCTATAAAAAGCTTTCTTGAGAAAAATAAGCTATCTGATAATGTTAAAAGACTCAAAGAATGACCATAAGTTGTTAACATAATGCAGCTGAGAACTGCAGACCTATTTAAGAAGCAGATGCTTCTATTCTAGGAAGACCTGGGGAGATATTAGAATTAGATGCATATATAAGAACAAGATATGCCTGTTTAGGACTTTTTTATGCCTTCCTGTAACCGCCATAGAGACATTGATATGGACAATCTGATCTACTATGGTATCAGATGTTCCTAGGCCACAGAGAAGTGCTTGTCAAAGTATATACTATGGCAGAATCATCTGGGCTAGATAGAAGTTGGCTTGATAAGCAAATGTTCACACCAAAATACAGTACTGGAAATTTCCTTCCAGGGGTTGCTATGTGAAATAATTGCTGTGAGGTGGTACCGTGTTTTGTGAAGCTCACCTTAGGATGCTACCGCTATATTCCAATACTGGGAAAAGCATTAAATTTATGCAGTAACAGAATCAGCCTTGATGTGGTCCAGCAGTCATTTGCTGGGCAGTGAGATGATATAAATAAATTATTAAAATGAAAACTCATAGGTTTAGTAAAATGTTGTCTTTTTCAGCTCTGGAGAGTACAGAGGGGCAATCACAACTGGCTGGCTCACCTCTAGAAGAACTTCCACAGCAAATTAATAGTATTTCACTTGACAAAGTGCAGCAATACTACCGTAAACTCAGGTATTTCACACTTCGCCTTTGCCTTAAAAGACATTGAAAGAACACTCCTTGCTAAGGACCTTAACGTTTAATGAAAAGGAGATTCTGGGGATGGTGATTTATGTACAAATACTGGTTTTGGAGCTCCTCATTGTGTGGGAAACTTGCTTTCTTCCTAGAGTTAAGCTTGTTCTGAAGCAGCACACTGTACAGGATCAAATTCCCATCTTATTGAACTGCAGAATTTTGTGCAGAGCTAAAATTACATAAAAAAGGGGATTTGGAATATTTTAGTACAGACTCAGTAAATTTCTGCTATCAAAATGGTGCTTCGGTAAGAAAGCAGATCTTGAAGTACGGGATTTCTGGCATAGCCTTCCCAGCTGTTTGGTACATGATAGTATATGATGTTATATATGTATGTGCTACAAATAAGACTCGCCAACTAATGGCGTCCTTGCTGGCCTTTTTGCAGGACATTTTACCTAGAGAGATCAAATTTGCCCACTGATTCCAACACTACTGCAGTGAAGATTGACCAGGTATTGTTACTGTGTTTATTTCTACAACGCATTCTCTCACATCTCTCAGTCCAGTGGTAGGATACCCATTCAGGTGACCTGTACAAACCCAAACGTCCTTTAAAGAATGTTCCATACCCTAAAAAAGTGACGTGAATTTCTCTGAAGCTTGGCTACAGTTCATTTGTTTAGAAGAAACTGTGCAGAAGCAGGGCAGACACAAACCCCTTAACTTCGGAACTAATGAGACTCCATATTGTCGTGACTGCCCCTGCTAAAGACAGCGTCTAATGTTAGACAGAATGAATTAATTGTCCTCTATAGAAGAAGCCTACAGGAAAACAGCACTTCCCAACATCCCATGTAAAGGCAGTCTAACCGGGGCAGGTGCCATATGTGAAGATATGCTTGTAAGGCATTAAATGCTACTTTAGGGAAGACAAAAAAAATCAGACTAGCTTTGCAGTTGTAATATACAGGGTATAAACAGCCTATGGGAGTGGTGATAATTGCAGAAAACAGCCCCAAGCTTAAGCAATTGTATTTTTTGCACTTCCAAGTTCATATATATTCTAAATAGTTGTTCCTGTATGGCAGTTACTCTGGTGTAGATGACTGTGCTTAGACACAGGATAAAGAACTGCATATGCCTTTATAACTGAAGGTGTAAGTATGCCACTGATGCATTTTATTATTGCTTTGTTTTAGCTTATTCGTCCCATTAATGCAATGGATGAGCTCTGCAGGCTGATGAAGTCCTTCATTAATACAAAACCAACACAGTCAGGATATTCCAGCAGTAACACATCAGGAGCAGGCCTGCTACCCATATCTTCTGAGCTGTGTTACCGACTTGGAGCCTGTCAGATCACCATGTGTGGCACTGGGATGCAGAGGTTTGATTTAAGAAGCCTTTGTGGTAGTGCTGAGAACTTGGTCCTTTCTAGAAATTTGAGCAATATATTTGATTCTGTGCAAAGCAATAGGAAGGTAGATCATAAGGCAATATAATAAGGACCTGAAGCTACTGCCATCTTTACATAGAACAGGCTGTGACTTTTAATACTTAATAATTGTATTGACACACAAACTTACGTTTCAGTGCATCAGCCAACGCAGCTGAGTGATCTCACTGCATGTTGCTTTCAGTCCACGCTGCCTTCAGTCACACCCTGAAAATGGAGGAAGTTGCTCAAAAAGACCTTTTGAATCTTGGTCAAAAATAGCTTTAGAATCTTGGTGTGTGCAACGATTGGTTCTGAACACACCACTGCTCTTTCAGTGTCTCAAAACCACTGAGTAAAGGAAAGACTGATTTGAGAACTTTATATGAATTGATGCAGAAGAGCAGGGAAAGAGAGCCTTGTAGTAACTGCAATATCTGGGTGTAACAAAGACTGGGCATGCACTAATTTCCTAAGTAAAAAACCCTAAAAAAGTAAATATAAGAACAGCAGCTAATGGAAGTTATGTACAGGACACTTACCTGTTAAGTATATCTATTTATAAATTTTAAATATGATCTGTGATTGAGTATCTATCTCCTGTCCCCATGTTCAGGAGTACACTGAGTGTGTCCCTGGAACAAGCAGCCATACTGGCGCGAAGTCACGGACTTCTGCCCAAGTGTATCATGCAAGCTACAGACATCATGAGGAAGCAAGTAAGTATCTAGCTGTGTGTCTGCTGCATGCCACTGGTTTTGTTCCAGTAACATCCAGTTTATTTCAATGGGGCACTGTATTTTGTACACTGCAAACCCATATAGCCAAACTCCTGTGTCTGAAGAGCTACACATATATTTGACAGGAATAAATTAAGTTTTGCATGTACAGCCATTCGAGCAATTAAAGTATAGGCCTCAGTCTACGTTATTTAAAGTGTGTGTCTTGATGGTTAGAGAGGTTATGCAGCATATTCAGGACAATTTCTGTATATAAAAAAACTGAGTCTCAGTCACAGTGTTAAATAGCAGGAATTCCCTAGTGTCAGACAGGCGTGCTTGTAAAGTGCTTTGGGACTAATTCCATCTTTTAAGTAAACACAGATGACTAATGTATCCACCCAATGGATTCCAAATCTTCTACAAGTAGTTAATGGATTCGCAAATAGAAACCATACTCCCATTATAATATTTTCCCCTAAGGATCAGATGCTTTATCGATACTGTCAGTGCCATAAATCCTCTGTTTCCTTAGGGACCAAGGGTTGAAATTTCTGCCAAGAATCTGAAAGTGATGGACCAAATGCCACAGTGTGCACCTCGGTAGGTTATTATGCATCATGCATTTTATCTGAGTGCTGGGTTTATGTTTCTGTAACAATTGGGGAGTTTCTGTTACAACCAAAGATCTCCTTAGTAGCAGTAGGAAAAAAAGAAAAAAGTCCTGGTTTCTTTCTCACTGTACTGAGTGCTCTGTAGATTAATCAGCTTTGCTGCTTACCATTTGCAGATCATTAACTTCAAAGGTTTCTACATATTCTGAATAGAACATAACTGATTAGAGAGAGGAGTTTTTTGGACTGTTGCTGTGTGTTGGCAAAGCCAGTGATTGACAGCCATCTGTGGGCTGCTCAGAAAGCCAAAATCCAGAATGGCAAATCTGACTGCAGATAAGCAGACATAATTCATACGCTAACACTGTTATGTGCTTAGCAGAGCTCAACTGCTTAGTTATGGCAGAGCAGGTTGAAGAGCACATGCTTTGAGACAGAGCAACCCCACAGTAGTAGTCTAAAAGAGAACTTTGAAAAGCACTTCAGAGTGAGTGTATTTGGTAGTGCTGCAGTCCTCCAAAGAACATGTCACTCCAGTGTCAATAAGACTTCCTTAAACCAGTGATATCTTATTCACCTGTTAAGACTTCTCAGTTGGTCTAAGCAAGTCCCACCTCATTCCTTTTTTTCCCCATCTGCTCCTCCAAATGTTTATAGGAAATTATTGCAAACTTTGGGGACTGTGATGCTTACTCTAATAAACAGTCTGGCCTTGCTTTTTTTAATCAGAGACCTTAAAAAGAACAACATTTTGCATTTAGAGCTTTATCCTTCTGTTGGATAAAGGGATAAAATAAAGGTCAGTGTTGGCTCCTTTGCCAGGTCCCCAGTGTCCTACATCAGCGTTTTAGCAGCACAGTTCTTTTGCCTCATTAATGGCTGTACATCACTTTGGTCCATTTTTATGACCATAACAGCATGCTGTGTTCAAAAAGAAACAGCTTTATAAACAAATCCTAAGACGAGGCATTTCTTTCATATACACTCTAAATCACAATGACAAATTCCAGGACTCTGTACTTGGATTATTTCAGGGCAATAAAGCTCAGATACATGTGTTCCTAGTGGGTTCCAGTGTCATACTGTGAAATAAAACTGAGCAAAATTAAAAGGAAAACTGAGGAATTAATGTTAATTCTCAGGATTATATTTCCTAGTCTTGAAGTTAGTCAAACTCTGTAGTAGGAGTCTTGAAAGAGAAGTTATGAAAGACTTGAGTTTATTCAAACGTAAAGTAGAAAAAGCCAAGAAAACCCCACCACAACCAGTACTATCCGAATGACAGGTAAGATGTATTTTTAGAGAAAACCTAAGCACAATTACTGATCTTAAAGTTTGTTCATGTCAACAAGCAGATGTGCTTGTATCTGTTGGGTGGCCCAGTCTATGAGCTTTTTTGGCCAGGAAAATGGGCATCTGGGTTTAAAGCAAAAGAAATTAAAAAAGGGACTACTGAAGACCCAAACTGGGTCAAATTGAAAGGGAGTGAGGGAAGGTCTCAAATAGTATTTAAGCAATGACTGTAAATACTTTAATTAATAAATCACTAGTGGAACTTCTGAATTTGCAGTTATTAAAAACAGTGGTATTCTTGATACTGGATTAACTCTAAAGCCTATAGAATGATAAAGGAGCAGTTGTATCTCATATACTATGCCAGTAACTTTATTTTACCATCCTTGTGATATTTAATACCGTACTAATTAGTTACTGCCATAACTAATACTGACTTCATCTGCCTTAAAGACTCTATAGGTTGTGCCAGCCACCTACAGATGGAGATTTATAAGGTGAGGGAGGCACCTGCCTTGCAGCATCAGTGGAGTGTTCAGCCAGGAGCAGCCCCACCTGAGGTACCCCCACAGCACCACCACCAATGGTGCTGAGCCCAGAGAGGAGCTCTTCTGCTGCGGGTTAGTCGGTGATGAACCTGCTGGCCCCAGACATCAGGAACCCACCTCTGAGCTCCTGCAGCGTGCGCAGGGATTCTTGTATTTCTTTGACTTGTTGAAGAAATCCACGAAACAAATACCCCAGAGCTAAGGTGGGTATTACTGCCATTTCCTAGATGCCTGGCAAAGTGACAGCTCTTTCAAGACAGTGCAGGTTTACTGGTGACTTGTGTGTGCTGCCACCTCAATGTAGTGGACTTCAAGATATGGATTGGTTATGCCTCCTCTCATGCTCCCCGTACTGCACCTGGCATCCATTTAATTGCCAGCATAGTTTTGGTCAGTGTTCTGGAGCAACAGCCTCAGAAACACCACTTTTTCATGAACTGACCTGCACTTTTGAATGATGAGTAGCACAATCCATGGTTTATTCAAACATGAACATCAAGAATGTCTTCTGGAGTAATTTTCACTCAGCCCAGTGAGAAGCGATCTCCCGATGCTGCAGAGTATACATTCCATAATCCTTCCTAACATTACTTCATTTTACTTACTGTAGCTTTCAGGTTTTTGATTAACTCTTTTTACTAATGCCCTGTTATGTACTCTGGAAATACAGAACTATTTAAGAGGAGAAACTGGGAGTGAAAGATTTTAAAGGAAACTTCACAAAGGAAAAAAAATCCTGTCTTATAACCTGATTATTTGAACAGATGTAGTTTTTAAAACAGGTCAGAAGAACTATACTTATTTATGTGGAGTGGCATATGTGTTTTCGATCATGTTATTATATATACAAGATTTAAATAAAAATTATATTGTTTAAAATGGGACCAATATGCTGGCAGTTACACAGCTACTCCCAGTTTACTGAAAAGAAATCTACATTATTTAAAATCTTTCAATATTTAAGTAGTCTTTAATACAGTTATTGAGATGTATTAGGGGTGCTTCTAAGTTAAAAGACAAAAGGAATCATGTATATAATGTACTTTATTTTTTTCTTGTTTGAAGCATTGTTCTCCATCCTGTCAGTATTATCCTAAGCACGGTAATTTTTCCCAAATTACTAGCTGAAACACATTGAAACATGTCAGCAGTCTCAGGACAGACATACGGTTCTTTTGGAGTGAGTGCCTTAACACGACCGCCCAGCCCCAGGGAGTTGGAATTGCAGCCGGTGCAGGCCAGGGTGTGCAGGGGACTCACCATGACTCTGGTTCTCCACAGCCTCCTTTGGAACAGTTCCAAGTCAGGACATCCTGAAGCGCTTTGCAGTGATGTACATTGTAGAAAATAAAGGTTTGGGGGTTTTATTTGTGATGTTGTTTGGTTCTTAGCTGGCTTTATTTTATTTTATTAACATCCAAACCAAGTGAAAATCTAAAATTAGACTTTTTCCATTTGGATTGGTAGCTCTTGTGACTTTTTTTTTTCTCATCTACACTTCAACACAAAATGGTTTGTGACAAGCTTGGAGATGCAGATTGTTCGGAACCCTGTTTCTTCATTTTTTATCCCTTCACTCACAGACTGCTAATTCTGGGGAAGAACCGTGGTTTGTTTTTAGCTCTTACCTGTTTCCTCTGACCTAGAGCAACCTGTTGCAGGGAGCTAGGACAACCCACCAGTCACTGGCTGTCAGATGCAAGGGTTGTTAACCAAGTGTCTATCTGTACTGCAGCCAGAGCAGCAGGTCATTATTTCAATGCACTTTTTTGTTAATTTTGGAGGAGTTTGGACTTTTGCCATTTGCTGTTCCAAAAAGCAATGGGTGTTTCTTTACTGAATCCTCAACTTAAAATGTACTTAGCATTAGAAGAACTGTAGGAACCCCACAAAATAAAAAAGAACACATAGGCCAAGGTCCTTGCTTTGTTTGCATCAGTTCTGCTTAGCAGAACTGCAGCAATCTTACAGCCTGTTCAGGATCTCAGCCCAGCCTTACACAGTCACTGTAAACATTAAAGATGTGTAGCAGAGCAGCTAAGGGCATTTACACTGTGCACTGTTTTCCATTGAAATGTATGTGATAGAAGTTTTTATTATTAAAAGTTGGTTTATATTCTAAGGAAATAAGGTATGATCTTATTTTTCTGTTATACCCATTAGTTCCTTAGCTCTAAGTTCTTCTGATCAGTTTAAGTTCTGCTATTTGCATGGAGCAATGAAGAGTTAACAGTTTAAACTGTAAGGGAAAAGTGGGTTTTGCTGTCAGTTCAATCTGGCATTGTAGAGCTAAACTCTTCCTGTTTGTGCAGTGTTGGCCACAGATGTGGTTTCACTGCAGACTTCCTATTAACATAGACAAGAAAAACTGTTTTGATGCTGTAACACGACAGGGTTTGAATGCAGTACTGGAAAAAAACAGGTTTAGGTGGAAAATGCAGGTAGGCTTGTACATTGCCCTCTCAAGTGAAGAGAGTCGATAAGCACTGCAGGATTTCCATGGCCAAAAGCAAAGTGAGAATCAGGCCCTCCACACTGAGCAATTCTGATGGCAGATCTGGAGCATCTGATACACTGGAAGTATGGAAAACAGTCAGATGGAGAAAATGGAAACTAGCAGTGTGATGATGAGGTGTGTAAGCAGCTGGCTAGAGGACAGGATGCAACACAGGAAAGAAAGAGGGGGTTGGGTGGCAGCTGCAAGTGGAATTTCTTTTCTGTCAGGATTGTAACTGAATTTGCTTAGTACCTGGAGCACAAGTACTGTGAGACTGGGGCTGGTGTTAAGCTGAGAGGCACTCATCTGGATCCAAGTGCACACAAAAAAAAGCCTGGAAGACTTTTCACACTGAAGGGGATGAAATGAATGGGATGAAAGCTGACAGTACAAATATGAACTCATGCCCTTGAAGACTGAACTAAGTATTTTGCTACATGTCTTGTAATTGATAACAAAAGAGCCTTGATTATAGATGATTCAGATGCAATTTGGTAGCTCAGCCTGCACTAGGAGACAGATTTCCAGTGGGGATGAAGATGATGATGAAGATTCAAGCCACTGTGCAGAGGCCAAAGAGAAACTGCAGTTGCTGGATGGTGAGGACAGATACTAAAATGGTATCATCAATAAAGTGGATACAGTTCTGGAAGATGAGACCAGAAAAGCTTGATTCATTAGCCTGAGACACAATAACAACTGATATCTTTATAAGAAGAAAATGATGAGAAAGGTAAAGATAGTTCTATCTGAACATAAATACAGCCACAAGGAGAAAAAGGAGTAGAAGCAAGCAGGGAAAAATATTGTCTTAAAATCGTTCTGGGCCTAGAAACCTTTTTTTTCCCTATCAGGCTCTGATGAAGAAAGAAATAACATTGACAAAGGAGCTTGTACAAGATGAAGCAGCAGTGCCTGGTGGTGCAGGATACTGGGCGGCCCTTCCCCATCCAGCCCCATTTGGCTACAACAGGAATTGTGTATCGGCCCCACTTTGTCTGATGTTGTCCATGGCATTTGCAAAGGTATGAACTGCCATTCACATCCTGGCCTTGGCTGTCTATTAGCATTAGTCATTTTCATATTCTAGCAGTCATTTTCAGACTGAAATAGTGGGATTTTTAGATCAGAAACCACAGATTTAGACATGGATACATCTTCTTTCCATTTAGAATAAAAAACATTGGAAAGAAAAATCCACCTGGACTCTCGCAAATCCTTTTTCCTCTGTCACCCTGTTTTATCACCAAATAGTGCTGATTCAGGAATATTTCCTAGTTGTAAAGCAATTTTAAGATATAAACTAGAAAGGCTTAACAAGCAGAGTGTCAATGTAAAGATAATTTGAACCATTCCTACAGCACGTGCATTGTTTCATCTGTCATAACCCTTGGCATTATAGCTGCCTGACACCTGGCTATGGTTCAGTGGTAAAAGGGCCAAAACCCCAACCTCTAACCCAACAAAGGGCTCATCAGACCAGCTTATTCACAAATGCACATAGGCATACTGTTAAGATATCACTGATTAATCAAATTGCCCAGTACAATTTGTAACTAAACCTGGTATTTGTGTAGCACAAGAGCATTCAAATATGAAGCTCAAATCTGCCATTCAGCAGAGTCCATAGTAGCTGATCATCTTAGAGGGAAGAAAAGCCTTCAAACAGCAAAGGGAATTTTACAATTCCCTTTTCCTCCCGGCTGCAGTCTGAGGAGAGAACTGGGGAACTACTTTCTTATCACTGGTATTGTGAAGATTCAAAGGAGAAAAATTATACACGGCTTTGAAAACTGTCAGTGCTTTACATATACAATACAGTTCTAATGACTTGAAAAACAGGAAACTAGATGGAAAAAAGGGTAAACATCACAATAACATATGTAAAACTCTCTGCTTCTAATTCCCATAAATATATTAATTGAGAGCACTTGGTATAAAGAACAACTGAAGTACTTGCTTGGACCCATTTCAGGATTTAGAAGGACAATGCATTAATACCATGAAGGAAACTAATTTAACATTAGTTTTCATTAGCAGGGGAAGAATAAACTCATGTGAAGTTTCTTCAGACTCCCTCATCTTCAGCAGTTCCAACTCCCTGAGTTAAAGAATGTCAGAATTCAGAACATAAGTAAATGTTAGGTGAATACCATTTTAAAAATATGGCCTTGGCAAGAAGATACTCAATGTGGATTTCAGAGAAGCTCTGTTCAGGTTGTAAAGTAATTGATAATTCTCCTATCACACATTCTGGCATGAGGAGAATCCTGTTTATTTAAAGTCCTGCTAATTGTCAGCAGATACTCTGAGAATCAGGCTGTGCTGCACAGTTGCATTCAAGTGTGCCAGAAGAAAGATCTGTTGGCAGCTGGACCCTGATCAGCTGGATGAGTTTGCCTTCGCATTGTGAAGCCTACACTGACTTAAAAGCGGAATTAAAGACAAAGGACCTGATTATCTTAGAACAGTAGGTTTGCTTTTTGTAGTGCACCTTTCAAAGATGTTTCCAGATGAGCTAAGACCGTAAGATGAGATTCAGAGCACTAGCACAACACTATAGAACAAACAACTCGTTGCAGAGGACTGCAGAAAGGCCTTCATTTTTTCTCATTTACAAAGGGGAGGCATGGCCACAGTAGGCTGACCATTGGTTATGCCAAATTTAAAAGGCTTTTAACAGGTAACTGATGATCAGCTATAGAAGCTCAAGTAGGACTGCTACAGCATTACTGCATTTACAGCTCATTTTGCACCTAAGATCAATTACCTCATCTGGGCAGGGGGGGCAGTGCTGAAATGTATAGTTTGTTTTTGCATGAAACAGAACTTCCAATGGTTTTAGGGAAATGTTTCAGAAATGATATTTTTATATCAGTTTATAGGACTGGCATTTTCAAATGTTTTGTAAAAAGAAAAAGTGTACAGAATATTTGAGAGGGTTTTTCCAGTTACGTTTGAGGGACTCCAGTGTACTAATAGTGTTACCGTTTTCTTCATGTTTCTGTATTTTTAACTAAGCATGTGTATCCTGCATTAAGATAAAAGTCTTAATATAATTTGTGCAACTTTTTGCGTTGTACCATCTAATCCATGTGGTCCTTTTAGCACTACTGGGCTGTGTTTGGTGTGCTGTGTGCTCTGTGTTTGTCAGAGGTGAAATTAAGCCATTCAGAAAACACTGCCCAGGTGGTCACAGCAATGTGTCTGCTGTCAGACAGGATTCAGAACACTCCTCTTAGGTGTGGAAGGTTGAGAGCTGTCTGAACTGGAGACATTTCTGTTGGGCTATTTAAAATATTTGGGCTATTGCTTTAAGAACTTTTTGAACTTTAAGAAGATTGAGAAAGTAAAAAGAAAACTACTTGATGTTCAAATCCTCTCTGGTTTTGTGGGATACAGGACAATTAGAAGAGCTCTTTCCTGCTGTGTACAAACTGCATTCTGCCTTTACAGGACATAAATTAAAGATCTAGATCTCTTCCCTTCCTCTGCAAAAAGAAAGATAAAAACTGGAGCCAGGAAATGCATTGCTGCCTAGCTGTGCAGCTGAAATATCCCTTGACCCTGAAATGGGTTCCGAGTTTCCTCTGAGAGCATTAAAACTCAGCTTTATATGCTCCTACACTTGTTCACAATCCCCCCAAATGGTTACGACTATCATTTCCATCATGTATGTGTTGTATCACTGCATCCAGCAGTTAGAATGAGGAAGTTCCACACAGCCAGCCAGGCATACCTGATCGCCTTACTCTACCCTTTGATGATACAACCAGCTTGTCAGTGCTATCAGCTGTCTTTAAAAGGGGAACTCTTAATTTTCCAGTCTATCCAGGGGCTTACACTGGGGTAGACTTCCCATTCACTGAAAGAATCAACCGAAGAGATGATATATCCATACCTGAAAGGGTTCAATAGGTTTCTAAGGAAGAAAAGAGTAAGAGTTAAATCCATTCATGCCCCTGACCAAGATAGATACTATGATTTGGGCTTCCTTCTCTTCACAGCAAAAGAGTGTAACAAGTCAAAGGAGAGATTCAAGAACAGTTTTGTTTGTAGCTTCCTCTGCAGTGAAAACCGATCTTCTGGTTTATCCCTTTATTGCATGTGGAGATACATTTAGTTCTCAGCCAAAATCACCCTGTTAAATTCCCTGAATCCCCAAAGTCTAGTAGCCTCAACATTGTTATAAAGCAAGGACAAGCCTCTTAAGTTTTTAACTGTGGTTTGATCTCCACATCACTTGTAAGAAACTTCAAGAGGTGCTACTCAGTACCTCCTGAACAGAAGACCTGCTTCAGCCTTGAAAGAGTTGAATACTTGACACCAGGACAGAAACCAAAGAGAAACAAACTAAGCCAAGGTGCCATAGATAGTAGCAATAATGGGTTACTCTTCAAGCAATGTTTCATGCTGGAGAAAATGACAGAGAATAAGGCAGTTAGTGCATGTCTAACCCTTCTCGCTAACACGCTGTGCAGCACTATGTGGTCATGCCTCAAGTCTGAGGAGATATTACTCTATTTCAGAGGCTACTTCTACATAGGAGGAAAATCACAAAAATAAGGTAAATGAGCATAAGGAATTTGAATTAAGAAACAGAGACCTCAACTAATAAGCTTTACCTCCTGAGGGTAAGGCAGATCATGAAAGGGACACTGAAACAGTCTTACAGAGTGCAGTAAGATCCCTAGCCCAGTGTTCCTGAACACTCCAAGAGCACAACATTTCTCATGTCAGTAATCAGCATCATTTTTTATAAAGTTCCTGTCCTTTCCCTGGTAAATCTGACTGGCTTTCTTTCCAGCCTGCTTTCTCCTTTGATCCTCATCACCCAGGCAATCATCAGCTAGTCACTAGAAAAGGAATTAACTGCCTGCTTACTGGAAATCAATTGAGATCTCTGCATTTTTCCCATTTACTGTTCAGGCGAGATGAGGGGCATGGACTGGGACTGTGCCAGTTCTTTTCCTTAGAATCTTAACAGCATGTTCAATAGGTTTGACTCATATGCTGTCCTGAGCAAAGAACAAACAGCACCAGGGAATCTTCAAACAAGAACATGTGTTGGTACTCCCAGTACTAATCCCATCCATGGTTTACACTGAAGTGATAAGAAGTAGAATTCTGCTGCCTGAGAACAACAGGGCAAAAGAGTAAATAGTCCCTGTTCAAGCAACAGGTACTATTTTGAGGTCTCTGACACCTCTTTCTCCTTGTATAGCCACCAGTAGCAGTGGCTCCTGCTGCTGCTGCTGTTGGGAGTGCCAGGGACCAATGCTGAAGCCCTGCTGACAAAGTGCACAGTGCGCTTGCTGTCTGCTCTCAGCTCACCGGCTGCTGCCATCAGCTGCAGGGAGACAGCTGCAGCCCAGCCAGGCCAGGGCACGCCAGGGACCACTGGCTTCCAAACTGGCCCTGTAGGGAAACCTGGGATTTAAATCTGCCAGGACAGGGGCTGCCACCTCCTGCAGACACAAGTACACAGGAAATTTGGGAGGAAAACACAGAACCTGTGCTCTTTGCCCAGTCTCCACCTGTGTACTACATTATGATAGGCAGTTTTTGCTACAGCTAACATATGGCCTTAATCATCAGTGTTACTCCCAATTTTCTTTTTTTTAATTGTTGTCCTGGGCTCATCAAAAGGCTGGAGTGCTCTGCCGTGATTAACTGTCTCCATCTTACAGATAGCTTTCTATTAAAATAAATGTCTGTGTGTCTTGTATGGGTTGTTCTGTTTTACACTGACAATTTAATGAACATAACATGACTTCCCCCTGCCAAGCAATAAATAACAGTTACTCCAGGCTTATCCATTGCTGTCTACACAGCTCCAGTAAAACACACACCGTTTCAGGTCACTGCATTTGAGAGAAAGGTGATGTTTGGACAATGTGTTTGCTGCGTTGAACATCTCAGTTCCTATTTTCAGTTGTGTTCCCTTTATCCCAAGGCCTAGTGAATGGCTGACAACATTTGAGTGAGGACAAAATAATATGTTCTCTATGGAACAAAAAGAATAAAGATTACCTTTTTTGCTGGTTTTCTTTCACAATTTAAACAATTGGTTGTAGTTCTGTTGATTCTTCAGTCGTGGAAGCTGCGTCCAGCTCTGCCGCGATTAAGATGGATTCTCTGAGGAGCAAAAACATGAGAACGGTGAAACTAAGTATGATAATGTGGGCTAAACAGGAAATATTCCTAAAAGTATTAATGGAATTCTTACTCATTTGTGTGGTGAGACATTGGAACGTGTTGCCCCATCCTTGGCAGTGTTCAAGGCCGGGCTGGACAGGGCTCGAATCAACCTGGTTTAGTGGGAAGTGTACTTTCCAACCCAAACCATTCTGTATTTCTATAAAATATCATTGATAAAATGATAGCACAGTCCCTTAGGTAGAGTCCTGATCACCTGGGATTTAAAAAGCACACAACCTGACTGAACAAAATTGAGTTATTGAATTACCTACAGGAACAAGAGGTTAAACCCATGGGTTATACCAGTCAGTACGTTACAGGATAGTTATAATAATCCCACTGGGGCTTAAGATCTGCTAATCTTAAAAAAAATATTACTGATATATTAATGTATTTTTTTTTAATCTATCATATAGAAACACTTAACCATTGGGTTAAACTCTTTATAGTTGTATAGTGAAAGGGTAGTCCTTTCCCAAAGGAATTTACAATCCAAAACTTGATCAAGTTTTTGGAGGGTGTTGGCATTCGCCCCAGCTCCTACCACAGGAGGCCAGCTAGTGTAGACAAACTAGACCAAAAGAAAATTGGCAAACCCAGGCCTACAGTTGTTAGGCTGCATATTCCAGGACCAAACCCTGAACAAATGGCTCAGTTTCTCTATCTCCAGCTTGACAGGAAAGAAAGCAGTAAAACTCCTGCTCCTGACACTTCTAAACTGACCTAAACCATTGCCTCTCCTGCTCCAGTTTGTCTCAACCAAGCTGCTGGTTTGCTTTAAGGAACTCTGCGATTGCCAGTAATTAAAGGTAGTTAGCACCTCCCTGGCTTGTGTGAACAGCAGAGGGTTACAACTACTTTTCCAGTCAACCTGGAGCAGCCAAGCTGCTCTAAATAGAGCTGTTTTTTCTAGAAACTCAAAGCTCTCTCGGAGCTCTTTACCAGTCCCTTCTGGTAGTCATGATTCACTGTTTGAAAAATACTTCTCCATGCCAAAATCATGACTCATTTTGTAAAATGTCAATTAATGCCCTGCAGAGTCTGCAAAAAATAAAAAAAAGGTCTGTTTTTAATGAATTAGGAATAAAATTAGTAATTAATGTTTGAATCCAGTGATTATTTTCTTGATCCTGCTTAAAATTAAATTTGGTTGTAAGCACTTTGAAGGCAATGAGCAAAGACTCATTATTATTTAATCAGCTTTAAATGACTTACATAATTACTTACATCAGTGACGTATTTTCATCTTGAGATAATTAAAAATAATTAGTATGGCTTTATCCCAGTTTTAATGTGCAAAATCAAATTCATATTATTAGTGGGGCTTGAATACTTGCTTTTTTGATGGAATTTATCTGGAAATTATTGCACAGAAGTTAATGAAGCTATCACACGAATGCAGCACTTGGAATGGATGCATCATTTATTTCTGATCCCATGTGAAGTCAGTTCTATTTTATTTTAGAGGAGATTTTAATAAAGTTTTGTGAAATAGAAGCAATTTTATAGCTAGAGCAACACATAGTGTGTCTTGCTGCAAGAAATAACAAGCTTTGGGTCCTATTCTTTTCCTACTCTGGTGTAAATCAAATGTAGATTCCCTAAATTTGGTGGAATCACAATGCTGTAGAGCATACATAACCCAAACCCAGCAACAACCAATGGGTTTGAGCTGAGCTATCTGAAAGGCTTTGTGCTTAAGCAGGAAGGCAAAATTAGGAAAATAGTGGAAGTATTTCTACCTTTTAAAGCAATCTAACTTTAAAAGGCAATTTAGTTGCCTTTAAAAGCAGTTTAACAGATAAAAAGGAGGAGCCAGTATAATGCAATTAGTCAGAAGTGCTTTATGGACTACATTTATTATCATATCTCATTAGAGAATTACAGGAGGGTTTTGAGATGCAGTCTAGAACATGGCTGTGGTTCACTTATTTTTATAAGGAGGAGATAATTACAAAGTTCCGAACATAAGTTTGCCAACCCTTAGAATCTTTGGGGTTTTCACATCTACTTCTTAAACAATCCTCATTTACCAACATCCTCCTCTAGCTTTAGTGGTTAGTGAGGGCCTCAGCTGAATTTCTGCCACCAGGTAGTCAACATAGGGCTGTATTTAGTGGTACTCGCATATTTCATCTTGTATTACACATACTTTTGACCACACTCCCCAAAGATGCTGCAGTGAAATAAACAGTTTCCTCCCTTGCTCACTAAGGATATTATCTCTATTGCCAGGCCTAGGAGGGCCTCTCACCTCCTAGTCTGTGGCTGCCAGCTCTGGGCTACAGCACATGCTGTATCTGCTGCTCCTCTAACTGCAGTTTCTGACTAGCTTCCAATAATATTGAAATGTACTGATGCCCACAGCATCTCTCTAAAGTAAGAAACACTGTTTCTCAACTGCACAACTGGGAAATGAGAACAAGATCTCAGAGACTTCATTCTGACATGTCTGCATTAGAATTGTCAAATGACAAAAAGTAGTTTTCACACTGGATAGGTGTGACCAGCACTGCACGTCTCAGATCTGTCTTGGGACCTGCCAGGCCTTGTTCACTAAGCATTTGAAAAAAGGGATGAATAGGCTTGTGAAAAAATGCAAATTAGAAAATGTTTTTCTGAGTAACAGAATCCAAAGGCAAGGGAACAGAGCTGCAACAGAACACTGCAGGAATGAGTGGCTGAAGTGATTAAACAGCAATTAAAATTCACTGTCAATAACTGCAGAGTACTGGTCACACAAATGAAATGATGAGGCACTGGATGTACAAAGTCAGGTTTTAAATGTGGTCCCCAAGCTTTGAAAAACCTTTCAGAGTTTTGTGGACCATTGCCTGGAAACATTAGCTCAGAGTTCCATGGCAATCATAGGGAAACTAGAACAATAGAAGTATTAGAAAAGAAACCATTGCAGAAAACCTCATGAATTGCAAGGTGCCCCTGAGACAAAACACTACAAGAATTGTTCTTATGGTTGAGGCCTCCAAACTCTTTTGAAGAACCCTGAGAACCTGCATGCAAGCAATATGCCCAGTGTCATACAAGAAGTTTCTCTTGCAGCATGGAAATAACTGTTTCACGGGAGCCTAGGCTTTCTTTGACCACTGAACCATCCTTACTTTCAATTCTGTGACTGTTCCTCCTGCTCTTCCTTTCTGTATACACCCCAGAAAGCTTCTTGTTAAGCAGCTCTGGGCTTCTCTCTCCATCAAGTGAGTTTCCTTTAGTTTGGGGGGTTCTACCCATGAAAAAATGTCAGCAGTACTGTTTAGAATCTGCATTAACTTGACAGTTAAGACCAGAATCTGATCTCAAAGAGATGAAAAAAAGCCATAGGAAGCCACCTATTTTTAGCTTCTTTCCTCATTACTAGATAAGGTTTATTCATGGATACATATAAATTCTAAAATACATTAAATCTCACAGAAATATCTGTATTTAGCAGCAGTAAGTAAAAACACAGCTGGTCTCAACAGCCTGTTTCAGACATAAAAGGAGTCAGAGGGAAAGAATTTATGACAAGTAGCCACAACTTAGAAAACCACAGTCCCACTTAGTATGTCCTCTTTTTGATAAAGGTTCCAGGAAACTTCCCGATTTGAAATTAGCAATGGAATTAAAGCTACAACTCCAGCATACCTCTGCATTAGCAATCCTTAGCAACTACAGGGCCTGTGCATTTACTGGCTGCTAAATAGCCATTGCATGGGAAGAAATATAGAGGAGGTAAATTACATGGCAAGAGAGCAAAGAACAGAATAAGACTCATCTCTTTTTCAGCTTGAAATAACTTCTGCTGGGCCAAGCCACCTTGCTTATGGCTTCCAGTAAGTTGCTGGTAGTCAGCACACAGTTTGTGCAGGAGCCTTCTCCTCCTAAACCAGCCAACTACTAGCTAAGCACCAAAGCTGTGTTCTTATCACAGTTGGAAATACACTTCTGAATTCATGTTTAAGGAATTCATAGAAGGACACAAGCACTGTTGCAAATTAATGCCTTATTAGATACGAATTTGCACTGTCAGATGTTGAAAAATGGCAGGGGCTGTGGAATTAAAACTAAACAACCCTATTAATCAAAGACATTTCCAGCATCTCTTTACAATTATGCTGTCCATACCTCAAGCTGAAAGGAGAATGCATTAAGAATACTAGGCTAAGTTTTCAACACTGGCTGGAGTAGTTGGATCCCCTAAAGAGAGAAAAGAAGTAAATATTGAGATAGCTCCACCAGGATAAATTGGATGGGTTTGACAGTAGGACATTTCAAAAGATTAATCCCTGTAGCTATACACACACACCTAAAATAATGAGCTTTCTGAAAGAGATACATAGAGAACTTAGCTTTCCTGTGCAGAAAGATTCAACAGACCCTGTAATGACAAAGCAGGCCACTTAGTTGTAACTGCTTTAAACTGGTCTTCCTGGTGATACTCTTTACTGCAGCTGAACGACACTCAAACAGGTATGAAATTGTTTCTCACCTTTGAAAGCCACCAGAAATGAAGGAAATCCCTTCCAGGCTTGCTCTCTCCAAATAAATTTTCCCCATTTATTAATATGAGTAAGAAGCAAATAATCCAGGAACCACAGGAAATAGGTTTCGGAAAGCAATTTTTGATTGATACAACTCAATGATCATTACTAAGGGCAATTATTAAAAATGAATTTCACTGGTCATCTCTTTTTCCATATTATGCCATTCACATGATTTGTTGCATAAAATCTCTCCAGTAATATTACTTCCGCCCACCCCCCATGGCTTATCTGGAGAAACCGGAGCTGATGGACTACTAGCTTTAAACATGGTTTCAGACAGTCCAGCCTGTAAAAATCTTCAAACATACTGAGAGGTTCCATGTGTGTCTCAAAAGCAACATACACAGCAAATTGCCATCTGTGTAAACTGCAAAATCTCTCAAAATAGATCTAAAAGAC